AATGTCAGTGACAAGAAACAGTACAGACTGACTTATGGCAAGTAGACATGCAACTGTTCTTGTGTGGCAACTGGAGCTTGTATTCTATTGAATCTACTCTGCACTCCTCAAGAGCAATATGTCCATTATACTGTGTGGTACTGTGCACTGAGAACTCCAGGTGTGGTCTAACTCAGGATTTAAACATGACCTCTATAATCCCTGGTATTCCATTCGTCTGGATGGAAAAGGTCAATAGTCCATTAGATATTTTGATTTTTGTGTATTATTTGTTCATTGGACATGGACATTGCTAGCTGGACCAGCATTTATTGCCCATCCCTACTGGCTCAGAGGACGGTTAGCATATAAGCCAGACCAGGTAAGGATGGCAGATTTCCTTCCCTAAAGGACATCACTGAACCAGATGGGTTTTTACAATAATCAACAGTCATTACAAGATCACCATTAGGCTAGCCCATGTTCCTAGGAAATAAGCCTGGGATTCTGGATTACAGAAAATGGAATAAGACATAAGCAGAGATGTTCTTGCTATAGAGGGAGTGCAGCAAAGGTTTACCAGACTTATTCCTGGGATGGTGGCACTGACACATGAAGAGGGGTTTCATCGGTTAGGATTATACTCACTGGAGTTCAGAAGAATGGGGAAAGCGGGGAGTGGAATCTCACCGAAACCAATAAAATTCCAACAGGACTAGACAAAGTAGATGCAGGCAGGGGAGTCAGGAGTCTGGGGTTACAGTCTAAGGATATGGGCTAAACCATTTAACTTCCAAGAGGAGGATAAATTTCTTCATCCAGACAATTGGATTCACTATCACAGAAACCAGTCCATGATTTCAGGGAGCAGCTGAATACAGCAGTCAGGGGTGGGGGGCTAAAGGGATCAATGGATATGGAGGAAATGTAGGATCCAGCTGTTGAGTTGGATAATCAGCCACGATCATAAAAGAATGGTGGAGCATGCTCGAAGGGCCTTACTCCTGCTCCTATTTTCTACGTTTCTATGAAAGATGCCTTAAAAATAATTTGCATTTGTATCAAAGCATGCACAGGAGATTAAACATACAAAATTGAGAGATATCTTTAGCTTGGTTATATGTTTCATAAACCTGTTGATTTTAATCAGGGAACAATTGCACATCATTTTCATCAACTCAAGAAATAATTTTGAAATAAAACTTTTTTCCAATGAGCCATATTATAAACCCATACTGTAAAATACTCCAACAATAGCTAGACTGGACACTGCAGTAACCGATTTTTTTTTTCAGCAAATGAACTTAAATCCAGCATTGGTGACAGAAGTTTAAAACCACATGGAAATCTAATTCTAAAGGTAAAGCCAAATCTTAGGCAAAAATTCAAATAGTTCAAAAACTAAATTCAACTTTCCTCAATGACTAATCATGACTATTTGTTTCACTCCTTTCAAAAAGGATTCTGCTCACTTAATTGGTATTTCAGAAGTGTGAAAAATTTGTTACCCAATTGACAAAGCATGCGACAATTATTCTAGAACTCCCAGTTTCCCAATTACATTAAATTAGGTAGTTTAAAAACTTCACCAGTTTCCAAAAACAGGAATTCTTTCTGTAAAATCCAAATGTATACTTTCAGATGACAAAAATCTGTTTCATTGCAGTGTATGTTATTTAAATACTTCTCTAAATTTGTTTTTCTTGCAGCAACTTTATGTCAACACACAAATCAGTCTGATTAAATTACACAAAAAGTAAATGTAACTTGGAAAATATTAGGAAGAACAACTGGATATTTATAGGACAGAGATGCTGAGGTGGATGTATGGAATAATTAGAAAGATAAAATCAGAGTCAGTACATCAGGGGTTCAGTGAAGATTCAGACAGTGTTGAACAAAGTAGTTCAGTAGAGATTGAAACGGTAAGGAGAGAGAAAGGAAATGTGGTGTGATGAGTAATGGAGATGGGACTGCCGAAAACATGGTCTAACAGCAGATGGAAAGATAACGGAAGAGACTTAAAAGCAGTGTATTGGAGGGGAACAGGTGACTGACAGAAGATGATGGAGAAGGGTAATCAACCAGCGTTGTGGCAACCCCATTGGAAATAGGTGCAGCAAAAGAGGGTAACAATATGTAAAATTTTGTTTCTCAGCAGTACTGACTGAAAACAGACTAATATGATAACACCAGATAACACAGTGTGGAGCTGAAGGAACACAGCAGGCCAGGCAGCATCAGAGGAGCAGGAAAGCTGATGTTTCGGGTTGGGTCCCTTCTTCAGAATTTCTGAAGCTCCACACTGTGTTATCTCCGACTCCAGCATCAGCAGTTCTTACTATCTCTGATATGCACCAGGCTAACATTTCCACATGTAAAGCATTTCTTTCGTACACATTTCCTTTTTATCTAACATATCCTGTCCAGCAACTCATTCCCGCCTGGTCAGGTTATGTTTGAATCATTCGTGGGGTGTGGGTGCTGCTGGCTGGCAAGCATTTATTGACTGTCCCCAGTTGCTCTTTAGAAGATGGTAGTGAGCTGTCTTCTTGAACAGCTGCAGTTCATGTGCTGCAGGTAAACCCAATGCCCTTAGGAAGGGAATTCCAGGATTTTGACCCAGTGCGATGAAAGAATGGTGATATATTTCCAAGTCAGGATGGCAAATAGCTTGGAGGGAACTTCAGACGGTGATTTCTTATGGATCTGCTGTCCTTTTCCTTTTCCTTCCACATGGAGGTGGTTGTGGGCCTGAAAACTGCTGTCTAAGGATCTTTAGCAAATTTCTGCAATGCCTCTCGTAGATAATAGCAGCACTGAGTGTTGGCCATGGATGAAGTGGACACTTGTGTATGTGGTGCCAATCAAGCAGACTGCTTTGTCCTGATAGTGTCAAGCTCGAATGTTGTTTGAGCTGCATCCATTCAGGCAACTGGGGAGGATTCCATCACATTCCTGAATTGTGCTTTGTAGATGATAGACAGGCTTTGGGGAGTTACTCGCTACACAAATCCTAGCCTCTGACTTTCTGTTGTAGCCACTGTATTTACATGCCTAGTCCAATGGAGTTGGATGTTGACAGTGGAGGATCCAGTGATGGTAACACCATTGAATATCAAGGGGAAGTGGTTAGATTATCTTACTGGAAATGGTCTTAGCCTGGTATTTATGTGGCACAAATGTTACCTGCCACTTGTCAGCTCAAGCCTGGATATTGTCCTGATCTCACTGCATTTGCACATGGACTACTTCAGTTCCTGAGGAGTTGCAAATGGTGTGAACATTGTGCAATCATTGACAAACATTCCCACTTCTGACCTTATGATGAAGGGAAAGTAATGAAGCAGCTAAAGATGGTTTGGCCTAGGATTTTTAGATAAAGACTATTTGGTCCTTGTCTGATTCATCAGTTTGCAAATTTTTTCCAAGCTTTCAATTCAGCATGCATCGAAAAGAGGGAAAAGTAGGATAGTTGCACAGACTATTACATGAGTCTATAAAAGACTGCTGCCAATTTTTCCTTCCTAATTTTTGCCAAAGGATTTGGGCAGCACATTGGTTAGCACTGTTGTCTCCCAGCAACAGGGACCTGGGTTCGATTCCACACGCAGGAAACTGTCTATGTGGAGTTTGCACATTCTCCCCACATCTGCGTGGGTTTCTGCTGGGTGCTCCAATTTCCTCCCACAGTCCAAAGATGAGAGAGTTAGGTGGATTAGCCATGCTAAATTGCCCACAGTGTGTGGTTTGTAAATTACATGGATTAGCCATGGGAAATGTCGGGTTACAGGGAAAGGGTCGGGGGATGGGCCTGGGTGGGATGCTCTTCAGAGGGACAGTGTGGACTTGTTGGGCCGAATGGCTTGTTTTCACTGTATAGGGATTCTATGGTTTCTTACATTTCTCCTGATGTTGATCTTGTTCCGCTACATTCAGTCCTTCATTCGTCACATTTTGCACATGTGTACATTCCACAAATAATGCAACAAATAATCTCATGCTATTCAGTTTATAGTGATTTAAATATCCATCTGCAGGTGGACTAAAAACAAACAGAACTCAGCAGAGTCTGGGATATGCATATGACATGCAATATTCAATTCAATGGTAAGGAGCAACCCTTCAGCTAGTACCAAAGATTCAACTGCACAACCAAGGGTATAAACTGGATTGTAGCATAAAGAGCAATAGGAACATTGAACCTCAGGATCCATTAGGATGCTTAGTCAGAAACACACTCATCATAGTTACATAGATACATATACATGAGCCAACATCTGGACATCAGTGTTCCTTATCCATCCCAACAAAAATCTTAAAACAGAAGTATCCAAGGAGATACCATCTCTGTCTTGTTTCCAATTGCAAACCCTTTAGATGAAATAACAATCCTAATTCTTCCTTTGGAATCTTCCCTGCAATACATAATGATTCTTTTCACTATATCAGCTTACTGCCACTTAAGTTGAAGCTTTCCATGAGGAAACCCATATCTACTTCAGTTATGCAATTTAAATCCTCAGACAAGACCCATTAGAGGTATGTATGCTTCCCAATCCCCTCATGCTAGATCTTAGAACGCCCCAATGATCAGAAATTATCCTAAATAGACACCATTTTTGCATTCTGTCTTGCGTACCATCTTGGACAACATTGTTTCCACACTAGCTTTCCAGAGTAACCCCACAGATATCAGAAATTCACCGCGTCCAGATATTTGCCCACTGCATACATCTGCTCCATTTAACCTCCCAGCCCGCAGGGCAGACCGTGCCCCTGCTCCATTTACTGCCCCGCAGGGCAGACCGTGCCCCTGCTCCATTTACCCCCAGGACAGACTATGCCCCTGGTCTATTTGCACATCCCTGTTCGGACAGACCGTGCCCCTGCTCCATACCCTGAGGGTGCACTGCCCTCACCCAGAAGCTGGTGCCCCCACTCAGGTCATTAACGGTTTCTCCTCCGCCCACTTCCCCGCTGACCGTGTGGTTCCTCGCCCCCTCCCCAATTCTCCTTACTTGGCAATGACAGTGTCTCACACTCCGGGGTTACGGACCCGCTCATCACTGTCTCCATCCTGCGGTCTCAGCTGGACCCTCCGGCTCCCGGGAGAGGCGGCGGCGGCCAAGCATCGCGAGAGCGCGCCGCCGCCCATAATCGCGGGAACACGCGCGAGCCGAGTCCGCCTGAACCTGTGCACGGGCAGACACGCGCTGCCGGACGTCACCGAACATCGCGCGCTCCGGCTGGGCGGGGCTATTCATTTTGGGCGCGTTTTGGGAATTGCACGGTGGGGAGGGCGCATGAGTGCGAGCGCGCGGGGGTGTGGGGCTGAGGGGAGGGTCACCCTCGTGGCCGCGCGGCGTGGGAGTGTGGGTTTCGGCGTTTGGTGGAGGCGGTGAGCTTCAATCGAAGGCGGTGTTTTGCTGCTCAAATTGAAATGACATGAGTCAGAAATAATTACAAAATGATCAGGTTTGTTTCCTCCGAGGAAGCGCTCTCATCATTAATCACCAGGGATTATAACTTGTTGATGTTGACCTCTGTAAGAACCTCAATGTTTAGTTCCCTTCCCCGCCGCCACTTCAACTGGCGCGTGTTCTCTTTGAAATATCATGAAAGGCGATTTCGTTATAGGAAGGATATTATTATTTATTATGTTATTATTTATTATATTTTTACTACAGGAACAGAAATTCCTGGAAGAGCTCAGCAGGTCTGGCAGCATCTATGGAGAAAAGGCAGAGTTAACATTTCGGGTCCAGCCACCCTCCTTCAGAGCACGGATTTGGTTAATTGGTTTTCAGAACATGACATCCCGCCCTGTACAAAAACAGACCGATCATCTGCTGTGTGCTCCTAGCTTGCCCAGTTTCTTACTGTACTGCAGTGTCCACACTTCAATAATACATCATTGGCTGCAAAGTGCGTTGGATATCTTGATGTCAGAATAAAATCTATACAAATGCACACTTTTACGTGTGTAAAAGCAAAACACAGTTCCATATATGTTAACTGAGCCGCCCCATGTTGAAAATAGTGAGGCAATTTGTTGCATAACTGTTATTCAACTAATAACACAGCTCACGTTCATACAACATTTTTTTTAAACACCTGCTCCAGAGCTGGAAGTTTAATCATACAAAATGATCGCAAATTTAAGAACATAATCAATAGCTGAGTCAGAAATAAAAACAGAATTATTGCAGAAACTTAGCAGGTCTGGCAGCAACTGTGGAGAGAAAAACAGACTTGACAGTTCAAGACCAACAACTCTTCCTGGCAAAACTGCTGAGTTTTTCGAGCACTTTCTGTCTTTCTCATTTTAGATCTTCAGCGCCATGAATGTTTGTCTTTTTTCACTCTTTTACAAGTATTTTTGCTTTTAACTGAGTCACGAGAGGTGAACTTCAAGGAACATTTAAAGAAGTCTAGGTGGATGGTCAGAAGATGAGCGCATAGAACTGAGATGGCCAAAGGTGCAACCTCCAAAGATGGAACAAAGGAAGAGTTTGATGTACAAGTAGAAGTGGTCAGTGTGGCTGAGAGTACTGTGGGGAAGGTAAAGCTGTAGAAAGTAGCATACACATGAACAGGATTTTAAACCAACAAATAGAAAATTTAAAATGGTAGATAGGAATGATGACGGAGCAGGACCTGGCATACAGCTGATAAGGTTTTGAATGAGCTGAAAGTCCTGAATCTAACATCAGCGTTAGGGAAACCATGAGAAAATATCTGAGGGACAGAATTAATCTCCACTTGGAGAGGCAGGATTAATCAGGGAACATCAGAGCGAGATCACATCTGGCAGATTTGGTTGTATTTTTTGAGGAAGTGGCTAGATGTATGGATGAGGGTAATGCACTGAATGTAGTCTGCATGGATTTTGGCAAGGTTTTTCACTAAGTCTCACTTAAGACACTGGTTAAGAACCCATGGAATCCAGGATAATTTTGCAAATTGGATCCAAAATTAGCTTAGTGGCAAGGGGCAGAGGGTGATGGTCAAATGTTATTTTGCGAAAATGCCTGCGTCCAGTGTAATGCTACAGGGTTCAGTGCTGGGCCCCTTCCTGTTTGTGGTGTACACTAATGATATAGAAATGAGTGTAGGAGGTTTGATCAGTAAGTTTGTAGATGACACAAAATTTGATGGTGTTGTAAATAGCAAGGAGGAAAGCCTTAGACCACGGGACAATATAGACAGGTTGGTCAGATAGGCAAAACAATGGCAAATGGAATTTAATCCTGAAAAGTGTGAGTGATGCATTTTGGAAGGACTAACAAGGAGAAGGAGTACACAGTCAATAGTATGACCCTAGGAAGTACAGTGGACCAAAATGACTTTTCTGAGATCCTTAAAGACAGCAGTACAGGTGGACAAGATGATTACAAAGGCTTATGGGACATGTCTTTATGAATCAAGGCATTGAACACAAGAACAAGGAGATTATCATAGAGGTGTATAAGACATTAGTTAGACCACAGCTAGAGTACTATGTGCAGTTCTGTCTCCTCACTATAGGAAGGATGTGACTGCACTGGAGAGGGTGCAGAAGAGATTCACCAGATTGTTACTTGGGCTGGAGCATTTCAGCTGTGAAGAGACACTTAGGCTGGGGTTGTTTTGCTCATAGCAGAGAATGCTGAGGACTGACCTGATTGAGGTATAGCAAATTATGAAGGGCATAGATAGGAAGAAACATTTCCCCTTAATAGAGGGATCAATAACCGGGAGGGTGTAGACTTAAAGTAAAGGGCAGGAGAGGTTTAAAAAGAGTTTAAGTAAGAGGTTTTTTTAATCCAGAATGTGGTATCTAGAACTCACTGCCCAAAAGGTTGATAAAGACAGCAACGATCACATAATTTAATATGTATTTAGATAATCACTCAAAGCACCATTGCATACAAGGGCTAAGTGGTGGAAAAGGTAAGTATTTGATGACTGGTATGGACACATGGGCTAAAGGATCTCTTTCCATTCTGTAAAACTCAATGATGTATTTTAGTGAGCACATCTTTACAGCTGGCTGGGGAAAAAATTCTCTAGGTCACTGGCTCTCAAAGGACTGCTGCAGACCAGGCACTTGCTCAGGCCTGAGCAAAGATGGCACCACAGTGTCAATGATTAATAACATCGTGCAAATGCAGTAACAAAGGAGCAACAGACAGGTTTTTTGGAGACGTTGGCAAACAGACTCAAATTTTGGAGTGGTTCACCAACATTATTAGTACTATGGTAACTCTGTCATGCATGCATCTGGCTGTCTGCATGGACTGCCAGTGAGAACTAGGTCCAACAGTTGCCATTAATACATGATGACTTATAGTCCATTGCTTTAGCCATTAGTTCTCAGCATCAATGGTGACAGAGGCATGAGGGACATTGACATTTGAAAGGTGCCCTTTCCTCTCAAGTAGGCAGGCTGATAGCAGTAAGCACCATGCTGAGAAGGAACCACAGAAAGACCCCTGAAGAGTCTCCTCTCAGGAAACTTTAGAGGCACCTGGTTCCTCCAGCTCTACTCTGCCAGTCACCCCCAACCCTGTACAGTTGCAGCTGAGGAAGATGAGTTTGAATCTAGGCAGGATACTCTCAGCATATCTGAGCCTTCAAAGCACAAATATCCCTGAGGATCATCCATCCAATCCTTTAAGACCGGCAGGCTCTTTTCACCCCTGTTGCAGGCCCAGGACTGGACCTGGACATAGTGGGAAGAAAAAGAAAATCTTCTGTTGGCAGTTAGGTGGCATAAGTGGCACTTTATTGTAAATAGACTACATGATGCTGGATATATATAGGGTGTACTTTCCAAAGACTGGTAAATGATATCAAGCACAATGTCCCATTGGCTGTTCACAACAGGCAAGGTATTAATCATACTCAACAAGCCTGTACTCGCAAAACACAACATCCAACATTGGATGTGATTTTGTGATTGTACAACATGTACCAAGTACAAAGAATTATACTGGCAACCAATTGAATTGTCAGTCTGACTTGTAAACTTTCATACACTAGAAGCTACATATATTATCCCGCAGGGAGCTGGTCTTTTCAGACATGAAGAACATGTAAATGCATTGTGCCTGTATCAATTTAACGCAATAAGTGACAATCTCTGATTCATTCCTCGTGGCACTGCCTTGACCAACCAGCCTTAACCTGCCTGGTTTATATTTAAACAAAGATTAGCAATTAATTGTCAGTCATCATCTATTCAATGCATTTTCCATGGCGATACCTCTACCTATCAGAGCCCATTTGCCAACCAATCAGCACTCTCTTCTGAGGGTATAAAATGTTGTTTTACCTTATGTCGCTATTCTGAATGTCCTGATGAGTGAAAGATGTAAATATTTGAAAAAAAAACTCTTTTCAGCAATACTAGATTATACTTATTGCAATCATATCATAAACTACCTCGTAATGTAAGACAAGTATGTCCTCTGTATAGGTTCAACAGTGGTCTGTCCTCTAACACTGATAATCAGGCATGCTTTTGACTCAACACAGAGAAACAAAGATTGGTGGCAATAATCTACCCAAACCAGTAGACAACAAACGTCACTTTACTTTGCTCTCATATATTTTCCACTAATTGTCATCTGTTTCTTTAATTTCAGTTTTTATGTTTACATTTTTTAGGAGTAATCTGTCATTTGTTGCTTGATGCTGCTACAGCCTACTTTCAGTCTGAACAGTTTGCTACCATTCATTTGGAGGAATGCAAGTTTAAGGAACCAGTAGAATTGCAATTATTGCCATTACAGTTATTTCCTCTTTAAGCTACTTCTTCAGGGATTTTTTAGTACTGCATGAAGTTCTGAAATTGGTGAAAGTGACTGCAAAGCTAATAATAATGGCAGAATAGTAGCATGCAAACTAATAAGTATGAAGAAACAGTTATTTGTGGCTTGCCTGAAGTTAAATAACCAAAGTATTCAGTACGAACATACTGATGAAAATCTTGCGAAGTAATTTACTGGAAATTTTACTCTCCATGCCTTTGGTTTTGTGGCACATTAATCTTTTAGCTATTCTGGCTGTGATCTAAAATTACCATTATTGCTTAATGTGTGATTCACAGCTTAGCAAAGGAACTTTTTTATTTACTTTATAAAAAACAAAGCTCATCAACTTTTCATAGTTTGGATTGATATTATCATTATAAATTTTCTTTACAGAGGTTCCAACATAAGCTGTTCTGAATAATTTATCAACATGTATTGTCTGGCATGATGTACAAAAATGTAATGTTAATAAGGTCTAATTATACCACTAACTTCTCACAGAAGAGAATGTCATTAATGTCTTAATTGATGAATTACCCCATAATTTCTAAAGGCTTTACTGCATTTTTGAGTCACTTTCAATCGCAACATTTTTCATCCAAAACTGCTAAATAGAGCCATCTTTGCAGACATCACCTGATTTCATGGTCTTGGAGAGAGTATTAAAAATTTGGGCCCCCATTCTATGTATTTTATTGATCATTTAAGTTGAAGGCCAGTTAATCACCACTGCATATTGCAAATTTCTCCCACACACTACCCATAGGTGGTAATGCCATCGGCTGAACAAACTCATCTCTTACGTCTTGAATCCACTTTGCAAGTGAAACAATTCGTGAGGCACAAATATATCTCTCAACAGGTCATGCTGCTGATAGCATATTTTTGGTAATAAGTTGCTAATTCTAAGAGTGAACACAGTATATTATGTATAATATTTCTTTTCATGTTTCAGAAGTTTAAAAAATTTTAATTAGTGCATCTTCGAGCATTTTAAAATTGCTTCATTTGTATACAAGATAAAATACCACACACAAGCCTGATGGAAAATTCTGAATGCTAAGTTCATTATTGTTATTTTAATTGACTTTACATCATTGTCAAAATAATGAGCAACCAAAAGGCAACAGTGAACTAAATAAGCACTACACTCCCTATGGCATATGCCCTAAAAGCCAATTCGTGAGGGAATTCTCTG